TAAACTCTTAATCTTCCTTTAACAGTTTTTAAACTAAGAAAAATAGAGCAATATGATCATACTATAGTAACTTAATTAAAATATATTAATATGAGAATGTGGAAGAGTAACAGATTTTCTAACATTATACATTTGAATATAAAAACTGCAGAATTAGTGTTTACAAAAATTACTTCCTAAAGTTATTTAAAAGATGTTAAAATCAATTCAAGTTCTTCATTGCATAGGTTTTTAAAGAGATGTGTGATTACCTACTTGGTCACTTGGGAAACTTGGTCACTGATAGAAACTGATCATTTACTGCTTGGTATTTAAAGACCCAAATATGTCATTTGCATTCAAGATAAGTGAAATGCTTTTCACTCTTTCCTAACGTTAATAGATGAGTGTTCTCATATAAAGGGAATAGATATCTTCTTATTTTAAACCATGTTTCATTCAATGATCTCCTGAGTATAGAATGAAAAGCTGGCCTCATGAAACACTGACAAATGAAACAAAGTCGGGGCAGTATTCTATAGGGCTTCTCCCTGATTATATGGCAAACTCAATCACAGATTTTGTGCTTTCAGGATGAAACAGCTAGTTCAAGGGCAATTATTGTGTTTATGGATTTCCATAATGCTTTAAAGCACAAAAGCAAATAATAGACACCTATGTCCTGAATCACATTAGCTCTTGGATTTTATTGATTATGCAGCATAATGTGTTCTGTAATTAACTTTGGTAAAGTATAAGACATTTCAGCTTGCACTTGGGTGATCAGGAGCACAATTTAGACAGCAAGGAACTTAACTCATTTCAAAACAATGATGACTGAAAAATCCTGCAATTGGATGAAATAAGGGGTCTGTGACAGTCATGGGAAATTTCAAAAGGGCAAGGCTTGGGGGACACAGACATGAAGATAGTAACATGCAAACCAATAAGATCATCCACTGCTCTAGGTGTACTGAAATGGACACATCTTGAAAAATGGTTTTTATTTTTTAAACTAGCTGAAATACAGACCTGAAATCAGAATCTGATGTTATGTTTTTAATGGGACCAACTAAGTTCATCCTCTTTGAGTTATCACTGACAATCTATTTTCAAGTCAGATATGATGGCACATTCCTATAGTCAGAGCAGCTGGGAGGCTGAGATGGGGACCCACTCAAGCCCAGAAGCATGAAGCCAGCTTGGGCAACACAGCAAGGCTCAGGTGAAAGAAAGAAAGAAAGAAAGAAAGAAAGAGCGAGCCAGTCCTAAGGCAAGAGAGATGGCTCAGTGGTTAAGAGAGTATACTACTCTTCCAGAGGACCCGAGTTCAGTTCTCAGCATCCATGTCAGGTAGCTCACAACCACCAACTCCATCTCCCAGGGATTTTATGCCCTCTTCTGGATTCTGTGGACAACTGCACACATGGCAGAGACACACTTAGCTACATACAAAATTTTTAAAAATTTAAAACGCAAGCCTGATAGTTCAGGCCTGTAATTCCATCTGCTCTATGGGCTAAAGCAGGGGGATCAGTTCAGACCCTCATCTCAAAATAAAAAGTAAGGGCTGGGCTCAGTGGCAGAGGGCTTGCTTAGTGGGCACAGGCCCAAGTGTAATTCCCAGTACTATGCAGAAAACAAAAACAAGCTCTCACCAGAGACATGACTAAACTAGACAGTTCATTTTATATATATAATATAAATACCACATTTATCTTTTTCAACTACACATATGTTAAATTTGCTGTTGTATCAACATTTCTCTAATCTTAGCCTCTGAGATTTATTACTGCCATAAGAATTTTTCTTATTTTAAACAACAAATCTTTCAAATTAAGATTTACAAATAAATATGTATACAAATATATGAAAAGAATCAAAAACTTAATGTTGGATGAATAAATGACCACAAATATCAAAAAAATATAAAACCACTGGAGGTGAATTTTTAGCTAGCAAGCACAGTGAACAAACATCTGCAATTTAAAATAGTGTATAGATAACACCAACCTTTCTAATCCCCCTCCAAAACAAAGGCCTTTCAATTTTTTTTCTTACTCTTTATATTCATCATTATTTTAAACATATGCTCATCTGGGGAGAACTAATATCATCACCCTCAAAAAAATGTTTATGACTCAACACATCTACTAAAAATTTTACTTGCCTACTATTTCCTTTCAAATCTGAACAATTTTACAAGGTGTTAAAAGCCTTGCCTAATATCGGTAGTACTTGGTTTTATCTAGCCCAAAAAAGGTACTATAATAACCAGAAACTAAAATTCAATGTAAACTTATAATTCTTCTTCAAGGGAAAAAAGGCATTATGCTTTCAGGCAGCTTAATATGACTTGTAAAAACCAGCTTCACATTTCAAAGGGTCAGGAAAAATTGAAAATCAAAATAACACTTCAGAACACCTGTTTGCTGAGAACATCTGTTTTGAATAAAAAATATCACCTTTACAAAAATCAAATTCTTTTTTCAATGACCTCAAAAAAGCACATTCAAAGTAGAATTCAATTGTTACATTTTATCTCAATTATTAACACTTATAAATCAGTAAATTAGTAAGAAGATCTAAAATTAATTTCTTATACTTGAAATACATACAATTTATTGAGGCATAAACAATTGCCAAGCATATTTTATCTTCTCATTTTCCCCAAAACTGACTTGTTATGAAATAAATACATATAAAATGAGGAAATGGCTTAAAGCCATATATACATCCATACATGCTTAAGTTAGATATGCAAATAAATAAAAAAAGAACATATGAAGAAAGATTTGGTTTTAAACAACACTTAATAAGAAGTTAAGTCAATTTGGCACTATTAAAAAGATATATTCACTGTAATGTAAAACTGAAACAAAGGATTTCTATCTCTAAACATAATTACTCTTCACTGGGAGCCGGAGAGATAGCTCAGCAGTTAAGAGCACAGCTGCTCTTTCAAAGGACCTGGGTTTGATTCCCAGCACCCATATGACAGCTAGCAACCATCCTAACTCCTGTTTCCAAAGGAACAGACACTCCCTTCTGACCTTCATTGGCACTGCATGGCACGGATGCGCTCACATACATGCAGGCAATACAGTCATACACATAAAATAAAAATAATAAGTAAAATATTTTTTAAAAATAAAAATAATTACTCTTCATTGGACGCTAGAGACTGAACCCAGGGCCCTGCATTTGCTAGGCAAGCCCTCTACCACTAAGCCCTGAGGTTTTTGAGACAGGGTCTCACTATGTATACCTCAGGGTTGGCCTGGTATTTGCTATGTAGCCAAGGCTAGTCTCAACTCACAATCCTCTAATCTCAGCCTCCTAAGCGCTGAAATTACAGGTATACAACATGATGCCCAGCAACAGTCTTCTTTAACATCAAAGAGAAATCAGTCACCCAAGATGATCATGGTTGTTCTATCACTTATATAGACTAAGAAGATACATAATGAGAAAAAAACTATTAAGAATTTAGTTATGGTGTCAGGTATTGTGGTGCATGCTTTGTTGTGATACATGCCTTTAATATCAGTACTCAGGAGGCAGAGCCAGGCAGAAAAAGAAATAGCAAAATTTAGCTATGAATTAAAATAAATTTGTGTTGGGCATGGTGGATGGTGGTGCATGCCTTTAAATACAAGCATTTGAGAGGCTGAGCTAGAAGGATTGCAAGTTCAAGGCCAGCCTGGGCTATGCATCAAGACCATTTCTCAAAAATAGAATGAGCAAAAAGTAATAAAATAAAATAAATTTGTAGATTTTTAGCCACAAAAATTACAAAATATAGCCACAAAAATTTTCAAAATAGCTTTACAAAGATAAGTAAAACAAATTATTTGACTGCAGTAAAAGTTTGCTATAAATATGGGTTTGGGGATGCCTTGCAAAATGCCAAAAGGCTACTGCCCACCATCCACACTCTAGGGTCCATAGTCTAGAGACTGAGAACCAACGATACTTTAAGAAAAGAAGAACAAATTGGGAATCAATGTTCCATATCTTCTAAGCTTAAAAAATTATGATTTAAAAAAAAAAACCTTCACCCTCTAAATAAATGCTGTGCAAAACTTCAGATCTATTCTAAAGAAGAGAGGGAAATGGTAAACACACAGATACTTCAAAAAAGAATCAAACTTATAGTCCCAGATTTAAAGCACTGACAAATAATAGTTGTAATATTCCTTAAAACTAATCAAGAAAAATAATCCAAAACTGGCAGCACAGGCCTGGAATCTCAGTTACTTGGGTCCCAGATTTAAAGCACTGACAAATAACATTTTTCATATTCCTTAAAACTAATCAAGAAAAATAATCCAAAATTGGCAGCACAGGCCTGGAATCTCAGTTACTTGGGAGGCTGAGGAAACAAGATCAGAAGATCAAGATCAGCCTGAACTATAGAGAGAATTCAAAGCCATCCTGGGCAACTTAATGAGATTTTCTCTCAAAACAGAAATTTAAAATTGGTCCAAGAATATAGCTCAGTGGTGGAGCCATCTGCTCATTATGAACAAGGCCCTAGGTTCAATTCTCACTGCTGAGAAAAAAGAAAGAAAAAGTAAAACCATCCAAGTCCATACTGTCCGCTGTCTCACCATCATCTCTCTCAGCTGACAGAACTGCATCATGGAGAGAGGAGGATCATCCAACACAGTCTGTGCACCAAATGTGGCTCAAGTCCTACCAGCCACTGCTGCCTCCTTTATTTCTATGTTGTGCTTCAAGCTTTTCCACCCCCAAGTTCCCAACTGTCTTTACTTTAGCAGCATCTAAATCAAGCATCCTCTAAATATTAGAGGCATGTTCAAGTTTCAAGACAGAATGGGAGGAAACAACTAAATTTCTATTGCAATATGTTCAACCCAAAAATTCTCACAGTGACTTGCCAAGTGCTGACCAGACCACAAACTACAATGCAAAGGACTATTTAAGGCCTTAAATGGTTAGCAGCTGAACATAGTTACTACTGTTCCTAGGGTGGAAACAGTTAAAACAGAACACACCAAAGGGCTGTTTATCCATTTCAGCATGCTCAAAATCCTCTTTGGCATTATATGCAAATCCCCTTAATGGAAGGCAGCTGAATTCAATGTTGAATACTTGTAGGTATGACTCACTGATTTTGATAGCCAGTCTTTCTACTTTTTTCAAAGATTTCAAACTATATATCAAACATTTATTGAATGTCTACTTTGTCTAAAATAGCATATCTGTGTGACCCTCAGCAAATATTTCTTTATCCTTACATTACTCATCTATAAAATGAAAATACTGGCACGTATCGAAAGAGATACGTAAATATTAAACAAGATAGTACATTTAAGCACTAAAATGAGTGTCTGGCACATAATAAGAGCTTAGAATACATCCATTGTTTCATAATAGCTTCTATAAGGACACTTGCATGTATTATTAATACATGAGTTCTCACTGATTGTTATTTAACTATTTATACAAATTTAAATCCCAATTAGAAGGTAAAATTCTAAGACAAAATTGATGACATTTTCATTTTTTTAGACGCAATATTATGATTAATTACCAAGACTTGGCCAATCAGCCCCTGGCTTCACTCTGGCTTCCTTCTTCTAAAAGATGTTACTCTATCTCCATCCCCTACTACAATGATTTGCACTCTCATCAAAAGAGTCAAAGACAGAAATATAGAAGTCATTCAAGACTTCATGCCCCTCCCACATCATTCAATTACCAAACTTTATGATGCTATATCTCACTATGTAGCTCCAGTTGACCTGGAACTCACTATGTAGACCACCCCAGGCTGGCCTGATCTCATAGTAATCTGCCTGCCTCTGCCTGCTGGGTGTGGGGATTAATGGCATATGCCACAATGCCGAGCATGATGCTATGATTTTTAAAACTTTTAACATCTTTACTTCCCATCCTGGTTCTGCATTTGCACTGATATTTAATCGTTTCTCTCCTGCACTACTTATAACATTTTTAAAGAACACAGAAGATTTAGAAGCAAAAATAGGCAGAAAAAATGTTTCAGGTTGGTAGAATAGTGTGAACCAAGAAAATAAGAAAAGGAAAAGAATTCAAGAGAATTAGTTGGGCTAGAAGAAAGGAGTGATACTATAATGTAGAGTTAGAAAACTAAACTGGAACCAAATTGTGAAGGGCTTTAACCTCCAACTAGAGAATTTGAATTTAATCTCATAAGAATTTTACTGACTGAGCCATCTCCCCAGCCCTGTCTTTTTTAAATTATAAAATACTAATACTGATGTTGATTAACTGTAAAATACTTTGTATTTTCTTTCTTCCTCTTATTCCATTTTCAAATAAATAAGAGGCATACATTAACTGTGTAGGTTATAATAACAATACCATCTCTTCTGGATTATACCAGAAAAACAATTTTATTGGCACATGGTCACCAAAAATTAATGTAATCTTCAGATCATGGAAAACCACTGAAGTTCAAAATAATGTGTGATTTCGAATTAAATGGAACTGATAAACTGCTCAGCAAAGTTCATCTTCTTGTTATAGGCAAAGATCTCTTATCATTCAAACTATAACTGTAAATGTAGTCATAAAAGCAAGTGTGTTTACACCACATGCCCTATTAAGACTTAGTACTAGTTGGTGCCAATAAGTTCAACCCAGTGAAATAAATGTTGCAGAAGTTTTCTCATAGCTACTTGTACAGAGATCAATGATGGCAAAGTTGCCTAAGAGATCTATATCCAAAGAGTATCACGTCCTCAAACTTGAACTTCCAATAGTAACCTACACTTTTTGTAAATCACAAGTATGTGAGGCCATCTGGTGGATAAAATACAGAAACGCACCAATTCTGAGCTAGTTAGCAGTGTTCAGGTCTTCCAACACCTAGTTCAATACCTTGCTTACTTACACACAGTCTCCTCACAGATTAAGAACCAGATTTATTGCTAAAACAAATACTTGACTTGAAATGGACCCTATTATTTTAAATACTGACCACTCCTTAAAAACAATACAAAAAGTTCATAGCCACAATGATCTAAGAATAAAGTGCCACCACAAAGTCTCCCAAATTGTCTTCTTCATTTTAAGTCATTATATAAAACCATATAAAACCAAAAAGCTTGGCTGAGCACGGTGGCACAAACCTTTAATCTCAGCACTGGGGAGGCAGAGGCAGGCAGATCTCTGTGAGTTTGAGGTCGCCTGGTCTACATAGGGAGTTAGACCAGCTAAGGCATCACAGTGATGGCCCCCCTCAACAAAACAAACCAAAAGTTTTGAAGACAGACATTTTAATAAAGGCTATAAGGGGGAAAAATCATCAGATATAACTGATCTCTCTACCAGGACAGGAACCATATTAGTCATCTCTGCAAAATCCTCAGAACCAAGGAAGGATATTTCCTGACACATAGCACTTGCTCAGAAATTATAAGCAAAACTAAAATAAATCACATGACATAAGCCTACTGCTTTCCGAATAAATGTGCATAACCTCAAATTCCAAACAGGTACCTTTAGTGGGTGCAGGCTGTATACTGAAAATTGGTTGCTGCTTTGTCAGAGGCATAAGTGCTGGTAGTGTCTGAATGATAATGGTTTTTGCTGGAACACTGGCATTTGTTTGAGTCTTGGGTGCTGCTGGAAGTAATAAAGGCTTGAGCTGAACTGAAGGTTTTGAACTCATCTGAATTTTCTTCTTTGGAGTCACTCCATTTTCTGAAGAAAAGAATGAACTTCAAATCAATCTGAAAGCAACTAAGCAAACTCTAAACAAACTCTATTATATCACATTACATACTTTCCTGTACATACTATCTTAACTTCTGAGTAACGATCTTCAACGAGCTTAAACACAGCTATTCTGTAATTGAATGGACTGAAAAAATAATTCTTCAGATCTTTTTAACCAAGCTACAGTTTAGGGAAGGGAACACATGAACTAGTAAAAGATAATATTAAAATCACTGAATAAAACCTAAAAATTAACGAGAGAACAGTCAAGTGGTTCTAACATTCAGTATCTTTAATTGGAACTTGGTAATCTCCTTGAAGATGATGGAATCTAAGTCTGTTTTAAGTATTTTTTACCTATAAAGATGAGGACCATCAAAAAAAGATTTTTTTCCTTCTCATCCCCATAGTAATCATTCACAAAAACAATAATAAAATTAAAGACACTAATTTAAAAACAACAAGCTAGCTTAATAAACACATGCTTGATCCAACACTGCCCTTTTAAAAAGTGGAACCTAAGTTTTGTCTAAAATAGAAAGATACAAATTAGGAGACAAATACCAGTTTTGCTTCCAGGACCTGTGATGGGCTTGTCTTCCTTCAGTGACTCTACCGAGGATGGTCCATTACAGCTTTCACTATATAAGGAAAGGGGAGACTGGGAGCTAGAAGACAAATCCAACTCCTCCTGTAGGAAAATAACACAAATTCATGCAGAAGAGTATCATCTTTGAGCAACAAATTACTTAGAAATAGACTATAATCCATATATAAACAGAAAAGTGCTTCAAAGCAAAGATAAGATACGGCAGAAACCACTCTACATGAAGTACTAAGTGTCTGCTGATAAACCAACACCCATTACCCCGCAGGAAAACTAACTCAAAATGTGGCATTTCTACGCCATTCTCTTGTAGTAAACATAAATCATCCACTTTTTTCTACATTTTATCCCACAAACTTTGGATCTTTCTTGGTTCTTAGTCTTACAAACATTTAGTTATCACCATAAGGCTACAGCTAAAATGGCAACATCCTTCTTCATTTCTTTTATTCAGTCTTAAAAGAATTTCAAAAGCAAAGTAATTCTTATTAATTTTATTTTTTTCTATTTAGTAACACTGCCCTTTTCCACGGTTTTTTTGTTTGTTTGTTTGTTTGTTTGTTTGTTTGTTTGTTTTGAGACAGGCTCTCACTATGTAGCCCAAGCTGACCTAGAATTTGCTATATAGACTATCACAGGCTGGCCTGGATTTCATAGCAATTCGCCTGTCTCTGCATCCCAAGTGTGGGAATTGAAGGCAAGCACCACCATGACCAGCTCCACAATGTTTTGAAAAGAAGATGAATGCTGAAACAAACAGGGCTATTTAATTTAATGGATGAAATGATAACATAGAGCTATATGAAGATGACATTAAAATTTCCAAATAGCTTTTCATTTTCAGTGGATATGCCTTATTTTGTTAGAATAACAAAGGAGAAAAGTAGCACTTCGATCCAAAAAGAAAATTATGATATAGATGATAACTAAATAGGCATAATCTCTACTTCATACATCTTTAAATAACCTGAATGATTAGGAAAAGAAGTTTTGGTGAACCTTATAAAGTATATTCTAACATATTTGTAAGAAACCAAAAAGTACAAGATATCAATACAGAAGAAAACTTTTATCTTTATGGCCTTAGATGATTAAAAAGTATTTGATAAAAATTGTCAAAAAACAAAGATTAGAGAGATACTTTCTATTTTATTATATTTTACATAGTGATTTTGTGCAAGGGCTGTGTATGTGTACCTGGAGGTCAGAGGACAATTGAAGGAGTTGGTTCTCTCCTTCTACCATGTGGGTCCCAGGGATCAAACTCAAGTTGTCAGGCTGTTGGAGAGCCTCTTTACCCACTGAGTCATCTCACTGGCCCTAGAGATACTTTCTTAGCAATTAAAAAGGACGTTATGTGCTACATACACTTAATCACAAAATACTAAGTGCATTCCCACTAAAGTCAAAATAAGAAACAGACACTTGCTTTTTCTATAATTCTAGTAAATATAGTTAAAGAAAAAGATGAAATAAAAAGAATAAACATCAAAATAGGAAATTAATGTTCCTTTTTTGAAAGGTAAGTTGTCTATTTAGAACATATATAAGAATCAGCTTGAATAATATTTGACTATAAAAATATTAATAGTCACTTGAAGATGTAATAGATGTAATGAAAATTTTACTTACAGTGGCAATAATAATAAAATACCTAGGAATTTTCTAAGAATCTTGAAAATGTATTTTTAAAAAACTATAAAACCAGATTGGAGCTATGGCTCAAAGATATAAAGATTATCTAGCACATATAAAGTCCTTGCTTCAGTATCCCCCCACCCACTCAGAAAAAAACAGGTACTGTTATATTTGTAGTTGAATATGGTAGCACACACCTAAAATCGCAGCACTCGGAAGGCTGAAACAAGACAACCGTTTGTTCGGAGCCAGCCAAGTTTACACAGCAAGACCTTGTCTCCCAAAACAAAAGAGTCTGGGAATAAGATGGGCACACCTTTAATTCCAGCACTTGGGAGGCAGAGACAGGCTGGATTCGAGGCCAGACTGATCTACATAGCAAGTTCCAGGCCAACTGGGGCTAAAGGGAGAACCCTGTCTCAAAAAAAGAAAATGACTGTAAAGATAATCTCATTATAAAAATTGGTTTACTCATACAGAGAAAATTAGAATCCTTATTTAAAGCCATGTAAGGTAGACTCAAACGGTTGAAAAAAATCTAAATGTGAAAGAAAAATAATATGATGGATATAAGAAAATGCAGAAGAATATCTTTTTGGCTACAAGAACAAAACACCTCAAAAATTAAGCCATAGTTAAAGAAAAAGATGAAATAAAAAGAATAAACATCAAAATAGGAAATTAATGTTCCGTTTTTTAAAGATATTAAAACATCTACTAAAACCTCAAAATTAAGCCGAAAAGGAAAAGTGCCCCCCAAAAAAGAAAGATGAGTCTGAGAAACTGAAAATTAAGACTTTCTACTTCATAATGTCTATAATGGTGACAGGTAATAGGGGGGAAAATGAGCAATATCTAAACTCAACAAAAGTTTTATACCTTAGAGCTGGAGGGATGGCTCAGCCTGTAAAGTGCTTGCTCTCACATAAAAATGCTGGGCATGGTGGTGCATGCTTGAATTCCAGTAGAAGAATTCCCTGGGACTCACTGGTTAGCAGGCCTAACCTAACTGGTGAGATCTAGACCAGTGCGAGACCCTGTCTCAAGGGAGTTAACAGCCTATGCACACACATGCACATATATGTACACACATATGTAAATGAGTTTATCTTAACCATGCATATGATTCTTGCAAATTAAACATGAAAAAGACAATAAATCAGTAGAAAAACTATCAAAGGACAAGAATAAACAATTTATAGATCCAAACTCCATAACAAAAATGTAGAGACATATTCAAAACAACCAGTGACCAACGAAATACAAAACAAAAGCAACAACAACAAAAGGTTTGTGAGCTGGAAAAGAAAAAAAAAAGAAAACTAGATAATGGTAAGCATTAGCAGAGAAGAGAAGCTACAAGGATCCAAAACACTGCCAATGAGCCTACTATGTAGCTGTAGGAGCCCCTGAGAACCATGAACAAGCACTGCCAAGCTGAGTATCTACGTAGCCTACTGGCCAGGTTTCCTGCTCCTAACATACATCCCAAAGAAATTCTCACATAGATCCACAAGGGAATATTTTTGACAATACCTCCATGGTATGGGTGAAATATATAGAAATGTGCAGTTAAATGCAATAGATTTTCTGTTTACAGAGGAATATGAATTAATCTTTAAAAGTGAATAGAATCCAGGCATGTGGTACACACAACCTCATCACTCCAGTGGTTGAGGCAGAGGATCATGAGTTAGAGGTAGCCTGAACTGCAAAGACCCTGTCTCAAAGACATACATATATACATACATACATACATACATACATACACCAAAACAGATAAGTATCACAAACAAATATTTAAGAGATATAATATCATCTGTACAAATTTAAAGTAAGTGCACAGAACTGAAATCACTGAGAAAAAAAAGAACTTTTAAATAAATTATATAGGAGTAAACCTTTTGATAATCATTTGGAGAAATACAAAATTGCCAAGTATCTTTTACCATGTACTAAGACAATTTCAAATAGAGCAAAGATTTAAATATTAAAAATAAAATCTTATGATAAATTTCTATTACCAGTCACTAGGAAAATAGTCCTTTCAGAATAATTTCATCATTAGCCACTAGATGGGGCTGAAAGATAGGCATTCATGCCTGGTGGAATGTCAGTGCTCAAGAAGGGTAGGAAAAGCATTCACAAAGGGAATCATCTGCTCTAAGGATACAGCATCAATAGGGGAAAGTCTTGATGTAGGATGGTCAAGCCCAGTGGAAACATGGTAAAAGATAAGAGGAGCCAATAGGAAGGGACTCCCACTGACCAAATATGAGACATCATAAGAATCAGAAGAAATAATCATAGTAAGGAGTTATAACCTAAATAAAATAGGAAACAATGATGTCACACCAATATTAACAAATAAATATAAAGTTTGATAAAGAATGGTATTTTGGAGTTGGTAAATTGACTAAAAAGGTAAAGGCATGGATTTCAATACCCAGACCCCTCATGGTAGAAGGAAAGAATCTCCACACACATAATAAACACATACACATACTTCATCAGCACACATACAAAAATAAATAACTATAAAAAGAAATTTCTTTAAACAATAGTACTTTTATGTAATTTTGAAGTTCCTTCTCACAAAATACTGGCAACTGGAAAAGGGAAAAAAGGAGTAACTTCATAGCTGAAAAATCGAGTAGACATACTACCTATCAATTGTTGAAGAGAACATAATTAGTAACAGGGCAAACTGACATTTTGTCATCAAAAATAAGTCAGGATTTGTCTTTAAGGTTGACTTTACAAAGAAAGGGTCAGGGAGTTGGTAGGCAAAGCATCACCTAAAATCCTATTGGCTTAATCCAGGTGAGATGCTGTTGGCCTGGAAAAAGCAGAAAAGAATCTTAGAAATAGTAAGTGAATAGAGGTCTAGTGAGGTGGCTTAGCAAGTAAACATGCTTGCTGTGCAAGCCTGAGAAGCCAAATTAGGTCCCTGGACATAGTGGAAGGAGAAAACAACTCCCAAAGCTGTCCTCTGATGTCTACACATGCACTATGGCATATACACACACACAGCCAGCCTGTGCTGCACAGTGTCACCACACACACACACACACACACACACACACACACACACACACACCCTAATACAATAAAGTAAATAGAATCACCAGAATTTAGTGATTGCCAGGATGAAGATACCTCGATTTATAACAGAGATAATACATGAAATACTGACTTGATTTTTCTTCTTGTGTTTTACCTTTCACTATGACCTAAGTCAGGTACTTCCTTTTCTTGACCTCAAAGCTTTAATCTTGGTGTATAGGGAAGCAGTCTTAAAGAGCTATCAGACCTTTGTGAAAATCTTAGCCCATTCAAAAGATAATGCTAGGAAATCCTGAACTAAACAAATCATCATTCTTTGTGCTATGACTGAGGGGTTATAAAAACTGACAATCTTACATTCTTCTGTGTCCTTAAAGAATATATACTCTAAAAGGAAGGAAACAGAAATGCAGAGAGAAAAAAACAGTGAACCAATAAAGAAGAATTATTAGACATTATAGATGGAGGAGCATAGGGAAGAGGCCAAAGCTATGATGATGCTAACAGCTTTCTAGCTCCCACAGGTCCCTCTGTCAAATCTCATTCTTCTCAGGAAAATAAGGTTCCATGAAACACCTGACGAATATCAATTGCTTTCCCCATATACATATTTCCAGATAGCACTCAATCCTTATAAAAGACTGGCTACTTACAGGAACATGCTGAGTTGAAGAACAAGAGTCTACTGACTGAGGAGATGAGACTGAACAACTTGAGGAAGCTGGAGAAAGTGGCTGAGGTTCTGCCTTAATATCTTTAACTGAAAAACATTGAGTGAAGGTTTTTCTCATCAATCCGTATAAATTCAGAATAAAATGAATAAGGGAACATTCAATCAAATAGGGAAGGGAAGATTACCAAAATATATCATTTAAATGAAAAACTCAAGATGCAGAACAGTGTACTTAGTACACGTCCACTTGTACAGTAAGTGGTACATGTATATATTCACTTGCATCTGCCCTTATTCTCTGGAAGAATAAAACGATGAAACTGATAACGATGGTTGTCATCTCTTTTCCTGGCTTGGAAACAAAAGCAAGGGGAAACGCTTTCTACTGTACAAACTATTTTACCTTCTGAATATTATACCATTTGCAAAAAAAATAATAATAATTCCCCCAAAAACAGAAAAGAAACATAACCAGTACATTCTACCATCTAAATTTCTATCTATTCACCTTCATCTTAGGTACTTATATATCTTGCTCAATTCCTGCCTTCCCTCCTCCCTCATAGAATATGGGAGATGCAAGGTCAGTGTTCTCTGTACTTTTTTTTTTTAGGTACTGAGTATCAAACTCTGGGCCTGTGCATGCTAGGCAAACACATTACCATTGTCCTAAATCCCCAAACCAGTGTTCTGATTACTACTGTGTAACAAAATCTGGGTAACTTAAAACAACCACCATTTTGTTAGGTTCCCAGAATCTATGCATCAGAAATTAGGAATGGAAATCCAGGAAACCAGAACCCTGGCCTCATGAATCCCATATCCTATGAGGGAAGACTGGAAGTGAGCAAGATAAATAAGTACTTACAATGAAGGGGAATAGGCAGGACAGAGGGAGGGAAGAATTTGGGTGGAAGAATGTGCTGGTTATTTATCCACTAATTCGACTCAAGTCTAGCTCCTATAATCTGTGATGCAAATAATTAATATATTTCTTTTTAATATATTATTTTTTGTGTATGGGTGCATTGCCCACATGTATGTAAATGCACCTGTGTCATGCAATGCCCACAGAGGTCAGAAGAGAGCATTGGATCTCCTGGAACTGGAGTTACAGGTGGTTGTTAGCCATCATGTGGGTGCTAGGAATTGAACCCAGGTCCTCTGCAAGAGCAGTCACTGAGCCATTTCTCCAGCCCTATTAATGTATTCTAAGCTGGCTTCCTCTTAGGCACTGCTGACTGGGGACACTAGAAGGATGTTACAAGATAGGAAAAAGGATTTTTCCCCCCTATGGTCAGTTTTATGAGTGGCAATCTGCTTCCAAGTTATTTTAGCACACTCAACCCCACACTTATCCTGCTCCCTTAAAATATTATTACCAGGGGCTAGAGAGATGGCTCCACAGTTAAGAACACTGACTGTTCTTGAAGAAGACCCAGTTTGAATCCCAGCACCCACGTGGCAGCTAACAACTGTCCATAACTCCAGTTCCAGGGGATTCAACAGCCTCTTCTGTCCTCCGTGGGCACTGCACGACATGGGTGCCCTTACCTACATGCAGGCATTACACTCATACATACAAAATAAAAATAATAAAAAAAATTTAATATTACTATTACCATAATAGTAATATATTGTATTCTCTTATAGAGAAATTATTCATAATTCCAAAATCAGTATTTCTATTTCTGATATGAGTTATTTGTTCATTCGTTATTCTACTCAAAGATAATTATGAAACTCTTCATATTCATTTTGGTAAGAAATTTATTTTTGCACTGTCAGGCCAAAAGTAGGATATATAGTCCCTAGGACATTTTGATGCACTTAATTGTGAGTATTACCAAAGTATGAGTTTGGTTTAAGTGCTCACAAGTAAAGTAAACCATTACCTGTACAGCACTGACTGCCGGTACTCCAAATGTCTGACTCCCAAGGCATCAAGTCCAAATCAAAATTAAGATGATCGAAATGATTTTCCTGTAAGTTTCAAATCAGAAAAGATTAAAATAGAATACATACACATTGAAATAAAACTATCATACACAATTTACCATGAATAATTGCTACTACCTAACCTAATAAAAGGAATTTTCTAAGTCAACTGGTTCATCTCACAAATACATCTTGGACAGTCTAGAGACAGATCAATTTTGGTTTGTTGAAGGACAATAACAACTAGAAGAGGTAATGAATCCAACAACTAAAAGATTGGGCAAAGTTCTTTTCTGTAGGAACAGACCATTAACTATTCACAAAAAAGTGTCTTGTGTCATAAAAGAGCTCCAACAAAACGGAGTTTCCCTCGCCATTAAGGAAAACAAGTCCAAGTAATTGTTTCCCCATAATACCATCTCTGTATATAAAAGAAAGAACACAGATATGGCCAAAAAAAATGCGTGAATCATAAAGAGGGTAACTGCTACGGAGCAAGTTCTTCTTTTTGGCTACTGCTCTTTATGTTTACAGATTTAAAAAATGTTTAGGGTTGACCAGATGGTTCAGTGGGTAAAGGCTTTTGCAGCCAAGCCTGAGGCCCTAGTTCAAGCTCTAGAACTGACATGGGGAAGGAGAGAACTAACTCTTGAAGTTGTCCTTTGACCTCCACATGTACACCATAGTTTATTTGTGCTCCCTACACACACACACACACACACACACACACACACACACACACACACTCATACACGCATGCACATGCACAAGCACAGACACACATGCAAATAAATAAATAAATGTAAGAAATTTTGAAATACATGCTTTTTGTTGCTAGGATATAAAGCTAATTTACTCACACAAGAGCTAACAGACATCTTAGAGGTGCTCCATTTATTTATTTTTATGTAGGTATTGGGGTTTTTTTACTTAAAAGTAACAATATTCTGGATTATTTGAATAACCACCCTATATATACAACATACATAAATAAAGAACTGCCACATGATTTCAGTGCCCTCATGAGAGACTGAGATCAAAACAGTACAAAGCTGTACTTTCCTAAAGCATCCGGGGTCACAGAGAAAGGAACAGAAGTAAACAATGCAGTAAGGTCTAGAAGCAGTCAGTACCACCTTATTATGTCAGACGATGAGCAGCAGCAGGTCAGAAAGTAAGCCTTAGCCAACAAGTAAAAAATCATCTAGCCTCTGTTGGCAACCATTTGTTAATAACTTCTGAAACTATTAAGATATTTGTTATATGGCTTATTTTAGTGATAATTTAACAAATAAAAAGAGAGAGAAGAGAAACTTTTATCAGACTGCTCTTAACTGAGTAAATTCTGGTTTAAGGTTTATGAAGAAAATGTATGGAAGTTCACATAAAAAAAAAACACTTAAATCATGAAAGAACCTTTTTGTTTTGCTTTGTTTTGTTTTTTGAGACAACTAGACTGGAACTCTCTATGTAGACCAGGCTGGCCTCAACCACAGAGATCCACCTGCCTCTGCTTCCTGAGTGCTGGGATTAAAGGTGTGCACTGCCATGCCTAGCCCATGAAAGAAACATTTTTTAACAATCTTTTTACTCTTTTTCTATTTCTATTTGAATCCTTACATCAAAACATTAAGCAACCTTGTACTTTCGGCAACCGAAAAAAAAAAAAAAATCTTAGTCTGTGAAACAGACCATTAAAGGCTCACAGAAAGTATCTTTTGTTACAAGAGAACTCCAAAGATTTAAGTAAATTTAGCAATGTTGTCTGCCTGACTGCTAGCGATACTTTTAAGTGTGCACAATCTAACAGCAGCACAATCTGCTCCAGGAATGCTTCTGACTCATCCCTCAGTCAAAAAAAGTTAAATACCAGGGTTGGAGATTTGGCTTAGGAGTTAAGACCACTGGCTGCTCTTCCAGGGGACCTGGGTTTGATTCCCAGCACCCAAATGGCGGCTTACAATCTTCCAAATATCCATAACTCCAGTTCTAGGGGATCTGGCGTCCTCCATGGGCATTGCACAACATGGGTGTAATTACATACATGCAAGCAATACACTTATCTGGGGGATGGAGAGATGGCTCAGTGGTTAAAAGTACTAGCTGCTCTTGTGGAGGACAGGAGTTTGGTTTCCTGCACTCACATAGCAGCTAACAACCAGCCACGACTCTAGTTCCAGGGGATGCAATGCCCTCTTCTGGCCTCTGCACACATTGTGCAACATGGATACACTTATGTACATGCAGGCAAAACACTCACGGAAATAAAATTTTAAAATAAGCAAATAATTTTTTAAAAAATAGAATTTTTCAGGACTGGAGAGATGGCTCAGTGGTTAAGAGCACTGACTACTTTTGCAGAGAGTCCAGGTCAGTTCCCAGCACCCACGTGGCAGCTAACAACCATCTGTAACTCCAGTTCCAGGGGATCTGACATCCCCTTCTAACCTTCATAGGCACTGCATGACACAGGTGCACTTACAAACATGCAGGCAAAACACTGATACACATAAAATAAAAATTAATATTTTTTTAAAAAAGAATTTTATTTGGTTGGAACTTCAACAGGTCTATTTTATGTAAAGTGAAACAAAGGAGCATTTATATACTCTGGCTCTTTAATCACTTTTCATAGGAAATTCTCCCACAGTATGGAAGAAGGAAAACACCAGGTCCCTCGGAAAAACTAGGCAACTGAGAGATTTAGTGCCTTACATAAAGCAACAGAATATTAGTTATAAAGTCATACCAATATTTCCTGAAACTTTCAGATTTAAAAAAAAGAAACGCACTTTTTTTTAACATTATTTAAAAGAAATATATCATTTTGTTTAGGATCCAGAGGTAATGAAAAATATCAGTTCCTTAGTCAATCAGCCATTAAAAAGCATTCATTAATGAAGAGAGCATCTCACAAGAGTCAATAAGCCATTAAAATCCCATGCACAGATTTGAAAAGTATAATATAAGAGGTTTCAGTCTCTTCTCCTGAATCAGTAAAACAATAAAATCATGCAGTAAATATCTGAAAGTCACTAAGCAAGTAAATATTTTTGTATTCAAGAACTTAAGAGTAAATGAAATTACATTCAACCTGACTACAAATCACTCTGGTTAATAAATTACTCTGTTCATTTAAATTACTTTTCATGTGAAACAATACCTCATCCATTAAAGAATAAGACAAAGTTCCAAACAGCTTCACATGTAGAAATCAAGAAAAGGGCGGGGGGGGGGATCTAAGTTATTTTGAGGGCTCAAAGTGTTACAGTAACAGTTTTTTCATAAATCTCTGACCATAAACAAGAAGATATAACTAATTTTCAGAGCTCTTATAAAGGAAACTGAGCCAGGCATGGTGGTGCACACCTTTCGTCCCAGCACTCGGGAGGCAGAGGTGGGTGGATCTCTGTGAGTTCAAGGCCAACCTGGTCTACATAGTGAGTTCCAGGACAGCTGGGGCTACAGGGAGACCCTGTCTCAAAAGGACCAAAAAAAAAAAAAAGGAAACTGGCAAGCTCCACTTGACTGGATCCATAACTCACATACAGTTCTTAATACTATATTATTTCCTATATGCAGCAAAGTACCTGCTAAAATGGAAGTAGGGCTAGGGGGCTGGTGAGGCAAGAAGATGGTTGGGAACTCCAGACCAGCCAGAGCTATCCAGTGAGTTCCACGCCAGTGTAGGCTAAAACCCAATGACTGTCAAATAACTTTTCCAAGGTCACCCACCCCTGGCACCAAAGGTAAGCTTAGGAAACAGGTCTTCTCAAATCAAGAACTATGTAGTTCTAAGGTCCTGTGTTTACTGACTACAAAATAGCTACCAACTTTGATATTTAATGATGTTACTTGAACTACTAGCTTAACCTACAGTCCCGAAACCTTCTTGCATTAATTAAAGATTAAACTTCATATTATTCCATACACCTCCTCCAATAAGTACTTACAGAAGTCTCATTTGCTGCACTGAATTGCACCTCATCAGTGTCTGTGAAGTAACCAAGTTCAGCAAACAGCATAGACTCTAAAAAAGAAAGAAAAGATATTGTCAGTTCAATGACCTGACAGCACAACAAGCACTGCCTCCCTATGCCAGCCGTATGAGGCTCCCAGAAGCCGTTGCTATTACTTATAAACTCAAGCACAGTGAATGACATGCAATTGGGAGCTGGTTTCTAATTTATATATTGTTCTTCACATAATCTTTATCTTTTTGAACTAAATCCTCACACTAGGTATTTTAAAAGGATTTATATCATATTATGTTGAAATAATTGGTTGTCACATTCTGGAATACTTCTAACAAGAATTCTGATGATACAGGTTGGCTTAGCACAAAGAAGAAATGCAACTGGTCAGCAACAGAAACAGGAAAGAACAATGGGGAATACATATGCACTGTGCACCTGCCATCCATGCCTTAAGTGTTAAAAAAAATTCTCTGTAGGACTGGGAAATGGCTCAGTTGGTAAACTCCTTGCTGTGAAAGCATGAGGACATGAATTCAGATCCCCAGCATCCATGTAATAAGTTGAGCACAGCAGTACACATCTGTAATTGCAGCACTGGGGAGGGATAGGTGGATCCCTAGAGCTTCCTGGCCAGCCACTAGTCAAATTGATGAGCTCCATATTCAATAAGAAACTTTGTCTCAAAAAAACATAAAAATAAAGTGGAGGGCTGGCAAGATGTCATTCACTGCACAAGCCTAGGGTTCTGATGTAAAGCTAGAAGAGAACTGACTCCAAAAGATTGTCCTCTGATCTTCACATAAGTGCTGTGACATGCACACACCCACACCCACATACAATAATATAGTTTAAAAAATAATAAACATATACATGCACTTGCATGTTGGGGACCTCTGTTGTGTAAAGTAGAAGTTTCTCCATGTCCGGATAGCTCACGATCTCGGAGCCATATGCAGAGACTCCTTTCACAGCAGGGTGCCTTCCCGGCATTTTTCCTGACTCCTTTGTGAAGTAGCAGCCACAGGAATGTAGCCTCTGGCTCTGTAACTATTAGGCTTTCCTGTGTGATTTTCAAGCAGTTTGGCAGCCTGGCGGGAGCCCATTTCCACACGCAAATGAGGCATCCCCAAAGTACCTATCAGCTGAAGCTTTTACCACTACCCCCATGGTATAAAGTTCCCTGATTCCCCTCAATAATTGAAGGAGCTGGATCACTCTGGGACACTGAGGCTTGGAGCCACGCAGAGCCATTGAATAAAGAGCTGTAACACTGAGTCTGACTGAGCTGAGTCTTGTCTCACTGCCTACGATCCAGCCTTCCCGGGAAGAGCTGTCTTTCCGTCACCGACTCATGGATCCCACTCTCTTGCGTGATCCAGCGGCTGGTGGATTTCGCATCTTGAGGAAAGTGCACGGGTGAAATTAGGGCGGGACTCGGCTGGGCAAAGCCCCAGCAGCAGAGAGCCACGGAAGACGCAGGGAAGCAGCGGAGAAGCAGAGACTCGCTGCCAAAACAGAGACGCGGAGCCGCGGTGCTGCGAGACCTTCAGCACCTCAAGCGGCGGACAGCGACGCGGGACCCGCGCCGCGACTCTCCAGGTGTGCGCGGGGGTACCCACGCACCCCACACCTGGCGCCCAGCGCACCCCATACTTGCATGAATGTGTATTCATGCACTCACATATATTTGCACACACACAAACATGTACACATATACAACACACACACACACACACACACATCTATGTAGGGCTGGAGAGATGGCTGAGTGGTTAAGAGCACTGGCTGCTCTTGTACAGGACCTGTGTTTAGTTCCCAGCACCTACATGACAGTTGTAACTTCAGTTTCAGGGGACCTGACACCCTCTTCTGGCCTCCATGGGCACTGCACACATGGTGTACTTACATACATGCAGACAGAACACTCATGCACATAAAATAAAATTTTTTAATATTTTATTTATTTTTATTTTATGTGTATGAGTGTATTGCCTGCAATGCATGTAAGTGCATCCATGTCATGCAATGCTGCAGAGGTCAGAAGAGAGCTTCGGAATCCCCTGGAACTAGAGTTAAGGATTGCTTGCAGCCACCATGTGGGTGCTGGAAATGGAACCCAGGTCCTCCACAAGAGCAGTCAGTGCTCTTAACTGCTGAGCCATCTCTCCAGCCCCATAAAATAAAATTTTAAAAGCTAGGGTCCTGATGTAAAGAGGTCAAGGCCAGCCTGATGAGTTCCAGGCAAGATGGGGCTACAGGGAGACCCTGTCTTAAAAAAAAAAAAAAAAAAAAAAAAAAAAAGACCAAAAATATAAATAAATAAATGTACACAATAAAAGATTTGCTCACCTACATAAACTGAAGCATATTCTAATTTCCTTACGAAGTTTCCTTATAAATCAAGAAAAATGTGAACAAGAAAAAACTCTTCAATAATCTAGATTAAAAATATTTTGTAAAAAAGGTCAAGACACTGACAAGGCCTAAGAAAGCTGATTTCCACACAATTTGTAGAATTTCTATTTTCCCTAATACTTCCAGAACTTTGGAGCTTTAAAGAATTTTCCAGCTCTGGATCCTCCTTTATATAGAAACTGCTGCAGTGATTTCCTCGCTGCACATGTGCATGAACTCCACTTCCAGTCAATTATTTGGCCAATGACAGAAACCTTTCACTAACTTAAAGCAAAATAGTACACAGCAAAATAAATAAATAAATAAGTAAATAAATAAATAAGTAAATAAATAAATAAATAAATAAGTAAATAAATAAATTCAATCAAGTTTGGGAAGGTTGAAGCAGGAGACTGCTAATTTAAAGCCAGAATAAATAAATAAATAAGTAAATAAATAAATAAGTAAATAAATAAATAAGTAAATAAATAAATAAATAAATAAATAACTGCATGGGTAGCAATAATGCAAAGGCACTCATTCAGTCAGAAGAGATTACCTTAAACCCACTTCCAGAGTCAAAAACCATATAAGTAGATGACTATGCATCTTAAATGTAGTCTGAACCCCCTTGTGAGCTTTCTGCATTTGCTATTTCTCATTTCTTTCTTCAATTCTTTCTTGATCCTGCTCCAATCAAGCTCCCCACTCTACACACAATAGTGATTAACTCACCAATGACCTCCATACAGCTAAGTCAATGGTAAGGTCACAGTCCTTACCTCACTTGAGCTATCAAGAGCATCTGACAGTTTGAGCCTTCATGTAATCTAAGAATTTTCTTCACTTAGTTTCCAAAACATTACATCCACCTGATTTTTTTTCCTTCCACTTCACTGGCTGATCCTAACTTAATGGACCCTCATCTCTGTAACATGAAATTGCCCCTGGGCTCAACATAAACTTTTCTATCTATGATGCTCCACTTGGAACTCCATTTGATTCATGGCTTTAAATAGCATCTATATGCCAAGCATGCCTGAATATGTATGTCTAGCTAATAATGTCAAGATGCATGTGTGCATAGAGTACTTATATCTCATAATGGTTTAAAAAGTACCTCCAACTTAGCACATCCCAAACTGAACTCTTCATCACTTCTGCCAAACCTCCTATTGTTTTTAACTGTCTGTAAATAATTTGGTGCTCCCAATGGTTCAAGCCAAAACCCCTGGAATCATGGTTTACTTCTCTTCCTTGCTCTCATACTAGATCTACCAGCAAATCCCATCCGCCTTGTATTCAAAATATATATCCATAATCTGGCTTCTTACCTTTCATCCCATCCTTTCGTCTTTTCCTGTCTTTTTCCTCCCTATCCTTCCGAACACAAAGAAGCCTGCTTCTGAGACAGCAGAGCAATGAGGCTGATGGGGTTTTATACATAGTCATCTGCACCAATGTGCCTGGTATCCAAAGAAACAGTATGGTGGGGGAGAGCAAGTTGCCTGGTGTAGGTAGCAATATGCCCTAGTCTCCAATGAAATGGAGTTAGTAGGAGGGAGAACAGATTGGCAGATGGAAGAGACAGCCTGAGTAGTTAGGAGAGTGATTACATTTAACAATATGTTAAATGATGAAGCAAATGATTTTGTATATCTAAAATAACTGGAGCAAGAGTTCTCACTGCTTAAGGGAGGATTTTAAAACAAGGATAGGGAAAGACTAAAAAAACTACAAGGTGTTAGATTGAAATTATTAGAAAATGAACTTTTTTAAAAAATGTATACATATACAGCCAGGCATAGTGGCACATACCTATAATCCTGGTACTTATAAGGCAGTGGAAGGAGAATCTCTACAAGTTCCAGGCCACCCTAGGCTACATTGCTAGTTCCAGGTTGGCCTGGGCTACAGAATGACAACTGTCTCAGAATGAATGGAGAGAGGAGAGAGAGAGGGAGAGAGAGAGAGAGAGAGAGAGAGAGAGAGATCATTATAGATGTCTATACAAGTATACATATAGACAGGCATACATTTGTTTCCTAGTTCTGTCTGCTGGGAGGTTTTTGCATAATGACATCCCAGTAGCAATGAAAATAATGTGCTCAGATACTGGATGCTAAATACCATCTTCCACTAAATAGAAGTCCACTAAGGGGTGTGTTGGAGAAATGGCTGATTGCAAGGTACAGAAAGTACAAAACAAGTCTGGAAAACTTTGATGTATTAAAAAACAAGGACATTCTCAGCAAAAGGTAAGAACATAATCAAGAATGCTGCAGGCATGGCTCACTGGTAGCACTCTTGCTTAGCATGCGCAAGGTCCTGAGTTTGCTCTCCAGTACCCACACACACACACAAAGAACATGTCAAACGACCAAAGGCATGTATATGAATGGATTCCCAGTGATCAAATCTGAGAACATCTGATCATTAAAATAATAGTATAAGTTCACAATACATTAAGATAAAAAGGAATCAATGAATTCAGATGGAAGAAAGGAGAAGAAGGAGGGAGGGAGGGAGGGAGGGAAGGAGGAATGGAGGGAAGGAGGAATGGAGGGAGGGAGAGAAGGAGGGAGGGAGAGGATGAGGGAGGGAGAGGAGGGAGGGAGAAAAGGAGGGAGAGAAGGAGGGAGGGAAAGAGGGCTCTTTC